CAGCAGAGTTTTCGTATACGTTTCTTCTTCGAATAAATTCAAGAATCGGGCCCCTGGCTATTTAATGTTTCAAACTCGCATTCTAATGTTACAAACTAGCGCGAGTTTGAAACATTAAAATAGCCAGATACGGTCAATTATAAAACTTGAAGTTGCTAATTATTGCTGGCAACCTTGAAGATTATCTTGTTAGTTTAGTCCATTTCGTTTGGTCGCTAGAATCTTTATCTGCGATTCGTAATTCTCGAATTTCAACGTGGCAATCTTAATTGCCGCTTCTCCGCACCTTTACTTTCGAAAGCCGCAGAGGGATATGCAGAACCGGGAGTAGACAGTTTGGCGTCCGAGGCCGAAGACAAAAGTGCGCCCTTCAGAAACAAAAATATGTCCTTTTACGGCACGTAAAGTATAATGAAAATAACTTTAGTTACATTTAATATACATATATTAATATTCGTTTTATCAGAACAATTGCCATTTTTGCGCACCTACGAATCTTTTATGAGACGTGTGCCTCGTTTAATCACTGAGCGTATTCGCGAGATTTTACGTGACGAACGACGCACATTTTTTCCTCCCCAAGGACCCACAGAATCCAACCGCTGATATCCTCGCATTTCACTGCCATCTGTTCCAACACGGGGCAACAAAAAGGCAAATACTGCTGACACCATGAACGTAAAAACTTGCTAGACCGCAAACTGATCGTGAGTGAGCGCGCTTGATTGGCCGCGCCATGTTGTCGAAGCGGATTGGCGCGCTCGACGCGTCACCGCTTCTACATCGCCGAACGCGACTCAATTATCTTCTGCCCCCATGGCGGCAGCCGGTAACCTATGATAACAAATACGTGCATTTAAATTTTGCACGTTAATCGACGACCCACTCGGCCTGCGTTGCCGATCGCACGGTATTACGTGGCTGTCGCGAGAAACCGAGGACATCCCACGATGGTTGAGGAATCGGAGCAGGTGAGTGACGAGTTCGCGTAGCTCGGCGCGTCGCAAATGCCAGGCCGGTAATCTTGGATGTGTGTCCCGAAAACAGTTGCCGCCGATCGACGTGAAGGAGCCGCTCGACCTGATAAAGCTGAGCCTGGAGGAGCGGATTTACGTGAAGATGAGGAACGAGAGGGAGCTCCGAGGGAAATTGCACGTAAGGGACTTTCCGTTGTTTCGGTGCAGCGTAAAGCCTAATCTACAATGTGCTCCCTGCGTCTAGAAACATTCTATTTTGTAGCTAATGTATACGTTTACAAAATTTATGCAAGTTGATAAATTGTATATTATACATTGTATAATCGTACATTGTTGACAAATTTGTTGAGCGTTTTGATCTGTTTATATAAAATAGAATGTTTCTAGATGCAGAAAGCACATTGTAGATTAGACATAAGGCTGATGGCAGAGAACAATCCGTAAACGCTTAAGACTGTCTCAGTCGTAGACGTAGGGCAAGGCAGAGAGAAACGTAAGTCGTGAAAGACTATTGTATACGACTTACGTTTCTCTCTGCCTTGCCCTACGTCTACGACTGAGACAGTCTTAAGCGTTTACGGACTGTTCTCTGCCATCAGCCTAAAGCGTCCCAGGAAAACGATCCTTACGTCTCTCAATTGCAGGCCTTCGACCAACACCTGAACATGGTGCTGGGCGACGTGGAAGAGATCATAAACATAGTGGAGATCGACGAGGAGACGTACGAGGAGATCTACCGCCAGAAGAAGAGGACCATCCAGATGCTGTTCGTGCGCGGCGACGGTGTCATCCTAGTATCTCCGCCTACATAAGATCACACGTCGGCTGCGGCCAAGTTGTCGCCTCGAATGCTTCCAAGTGCTTTTCTCCTCCTTTCTTTCGGTAAAGATGGACAGAGAAAAGAGACACTTCGAAGCATCCGCGGCGGCAGCTCGACCGCAAGCATCGTCTCGTGCGTGGAGCACGACGCTACACTATATTTTATATATAATTTACGATGTGACTCTGCTCTGTCCTAAAAGATCTGCGGTGCTCGATTTGAGAGATCGAGGGAAATTTTTGCGACAGCACCTTCTATTTCTGTATTATACTATACATATAACACGCTGCGTGTGTCTAAGGTTGCATGAGTGGCCCAACTAGATAATAATAAAAAGTGTATTCTTTTGTACATGGTAAACGTGTAGAAAAAAAAGAAACAGACGAACGAGCTACGAGCGCTGTGTAGTGGCCGCACTCGGGGAGCGCGTCTCGACGGGGTTTAGTACGACAGCTTGGTGGAGACGCACGGTTTCGCGACTCCGCTGCCGATAACGTGAGGACGCGGAGTTGCGGTGTTCCGCTCGACGGGCAGCCTCGCGATCTGCAACGTGAGGTCGTCGATCCGCTGGTCCTTCAGCTTCATTATGCTTTCCAAATGCGAGATCTTCTGCTGCAGCGCGGCGATCGTGTCGTTTTTCTGTTGCAGCTCCTGCTTCAAGCGAGTGAAGATGTGCCGGGGGACGGTCTTGTTCGCAATCTCGTCGGGATTTAGCACGGATTTCACCGCCTCTGTATTATTATCACGCATAGAAGTTAAAAGAAGAGCCCGGCAAGCACCCAAAGCAGCAGCGACGCGCGTTACATTTACATTGATGTTGTATTCTGTTACTTTGGATGTTTGCTGGGAAGCGACTCCGGAGAAAGTTGAGAGTCCAAAAATAGCTGGTTACAGTAGTCACCTTTACTGTCCGCGTGGCCTAGGTACAAGGACTCCCTGTCGGCGTTCGAATCCTTCAAGATCTTGACCCGTAGATCGGCGAGGACCTTCTCGATGACGCCTGGCTGGGAACTCGCCAGCTGACCAATCGCCTCCTTCCCCAGCCTTATATCGATCTTCGACAACACCTTGCGATTCAGCGTGCTCCAGTTGTCGATCTTCTTCGCGATGCTGTTGCCGGCGACGTAGTTGTGCACGTCCACGTGCTTAGGATAGTAGCGTTTCAACAGCTCCGCCATCAACACTGGGAGTTCGAGCAGCGATTAAATTTTTCTGCATTGTGTTACTCCTGAAGGCAACGCGACCCGGAAGACGGTCGGTCTTTCGCGGGAGAAGAATTGAAAGAATGATTTATGTAAGATCGTGGAGATCGTGCTTCCTCCTTTCTTACCTCCATCGGAAAAGTCTCTGGCTATGTTTCTTTTGGGCCTGGAAAACTTGATTTGATCGATCCAATCGTAGATCTCGTCGAGATGGTCACCAATCTCCGAGTTCGCGCTCATGTTCACTGCGACGCTTTTGGCGACCCGCACGCTGATGAGCTCATGTGGGGGTAATGAAAGAATACGAGGGGAAGGAAGAAAGAGAGAGAAAGAGAGAGAGGTCCCTGTTACGTAAATTAGGAATTTGTAAATGCGGTCGACATTTTTTTTTATCTTACACACTCGATATTCGCTCGAGCCTATCTTCAGGTTTGCTCCAGTAAACAAATTTTGGCATTCGGCTGCTGAAGAACAAGAGCAAGTCTGGAAACAGGCTCGATACATCAAGGAGAACCGCGACCGATGGAATGTATATTAGATAAAAGTTTAAATTCTCGAAATGTATAGATTTTCATTCGTAAAACTTTCGCAAGAGTTGAGCGCGAACGGTGATCGCTCATGAGCGATCGTCGTCATTGTATTCGATCATTTTACAAAACGGCATTACGGAAGTACGCGTTTCTTCACTAAAGAAAAAAATAGCGTTTTATCCTTACATTCTTCACGATCGAGTCTTGGAAACCGACAACGCAAAAATAATACCACGCACGGAGCGACTCGCGCCACTGCTTGCCGGCTCGACGTTCGGCGAGTGACTGCGCGGCGACCTTCGTGTGAACAATGGTCCGCGTGACGTCGTACGATGCTGCGCCGAGTGAAAAACAACAAATAAACGTTCGTGTTTGTGTTGAGAA